AGTTCGGTGCCTCTGCTATATTACACAAAGTCTAGAAAAGAAGGAAATAAACTGAATAGAGACTTTTACCAAATATATGACATCAACATCAAATTCACAAAACTGACAAACAGACATTAGAGTATTACAGAAGACAAGCACTAGTGGTTATTTGTGATCTTGATACTGAAGAGGTCATGCAGATTTAACATTTAAAATCTTGTATTGGCGATTAATATATTTGGCCCCCTTAATTTAAAAGCGTGACGAAATTGATGCGAAATCACCAGACTATAAGTAACATGCTTTGTTGTGATTTCATAAGATAACCCCATGCTCGACAACACTAATATAAATGTTGTTCATTTAATTACATTGTGCCCATAACAGCATTTACAGATATAATGGTCGCTTTGTGCTTTTTCAAGTGGTAATTTCAGAAGAAATTGATCAATATTGAAAATGACAGCATTTGGTATTTTGTTGTGTTGCATCGTTTAATGAGATAATGCATTCAATATTTTAGTAGCTAAAGAAACAAACGAGATTGCGTTCACGGTATTATATCATTTGGTAAAACATTGATGAGGGTTCCATTGTTTCGTTGAAGTTTGACGACAAGAATCTGACACCGATATTTAACAAATTTCAAAGTTACGAATCATACCAAAAGTTATAATGTATGTTACTTTGTGAAGTCATTGTTATGAGAGAATTTTTGTGCTTAAATCCTTTTTGTTTGATGAGCCATTTTAAAATTTGTTTGTAAAATTCAGAGTGAAATAGAATTACAGGAATATCATAGTTAGTGTACTTCCAAAAAATATATGTTTTCATTTTAAGACTAGATTTAATTTTCATGATTTTAATTAACCCCATCCACACTAAATTTGTCTAGCTTACATATTTTGACATCTTTCTGATACACTCTTTGTGTTAAAGGGGTAATTATATCAAAAGATGTTTCATTCTAATGAATTAAATAAGAAAGTACTTCGTGTTTTGGTACATAATTCCTCAATGTAATATTATTTCGAGGCAACAGTAATCCCTTTTACTTCACAAAAAAAACCCTAAAAAAATATTGATATAACCTTGAAACATTACACATCTAAAGGTCATTACAAGTTGTATTCAACAATACACAAGTCACGCATCTTAAGTAGGTAAACTCCTTATTATTGATATCAATATTTAGATACAAGCAAAGGCTCTATCAAAAAGACATTTTACTACAAGATGTATGTTAACAAGATGTTAATATATTCAAAATATCTTTTTGTAAAGGCTTTGTTAATGGCACAATATCAATAAATAAGATATAAAAAGGTGGATATTTGTGCAGTTTTTGCAGTTTTGCGCTAGATATTTTGCGGAGAACAAAAAAAATAATATAATTCCATGTGTAAAAGAATCAGTAGAGGGAGAAATCACATTTTCACGTTATTGGACATTATTTTTGTTAAAATTATGTCTTCATAACTTAACAATTTGGAAAACAACATCAATGGAGAAAATGCATTTACCAATCAATATCATGACAACCGAATAAAGAAGGTCCCTTTAATTTTACACCCCCACCAAATAAAGGGCAACATACCGTATGCAACAATACACAAGTATCTTAAGCGTCTTAAGTAAGTAAACACTTAAATTTTGGCCATATATAAATAATTGTTTTATGTATCGAAAAATTAAATGTATATTTAGATTACAATTATATGTCATTATAGTCTCCAAGCATTACTACTGCTAATTGCCTGGTTTAACTTTATAGAATAAGATATTTTAAATTGATATGTTTATAGGATAGTAAATTGCAATCGTCGGCAATGCATTTTATTAATCAACCTAAATAATATCAAAATGTGTTACGATTTTTGTTTGCGCCTTTGGTATCTTCTGCCGCTTTTAAACATCATATAGATACATCGAAATAAAAAAGAATATATTTGTTTCATAAAACAACAGAATAATCAAGGTAAAGATAGAGTAGTCTGAACAAAAGATGTTAATTCTAAGCGTATTGTTTTAATCAACCTGCGTCATTTGAAAATTTGTTCTGTTAAAATGCATTTGTTAATGTGCATAATGCACAGTCTCACAATTGTTTGAAACAATGGACTTGTCATGAATATTTGAAAATCTAAATAGATAGTTTTAGCTGTTCACAATAAATATCAATATGCACTGGTATCGACTGTCTTGATTCTACTCGACAATTCACATTTTATAGATATACAAATAAAGTGATTTGCATGAAAAACAATGAAACAATTATTCGCAAGAGACCAATTACATTGCAAATGACGGCTGTAAAAGATTTTGTACTTTAACTATGTACATAAGGGTAGCCTTTTCAGATCACCACCCCCCCTCTGTAATAAAGTCATCTCCAATAGGATCCAACAGAAAAGACATTAATTTTTGAAATGCCAAAAAGGAACATATCAAAATTAACATTTCTGCCGAACAAAACAAATGTCTAATGCTACGAAATCGACCAAGTTTTGCCGAGTGGCACCTTTAATGACAGTTAAAAATTGTGCTTACTGTCAGTTCGCTAACAAACAGTGTGTCGTTCTCTAGTTGTGTATGTGTTCTGAAGTCTAATGTTTGTCATTTCGTCGTTTTATGTTTTTTATTCTATAATTATCTGTCTTTTTTTTTTATCTACTATTGAATTTTCATTGCCCTTTTGGCATCGGCATTTATTTTGTTTTACATCATATAGATATGTCAAATTATTGAAATACGAAATGCATTTAGTGGTACAATAGAATGATTTAGGGTAAAGTTAGAGTAATCTGATCCAAGTATGTTCAAAATTCTACATAAAATACATTCGAAAAAAAATTATTGGAAAAAATACACTGAACGTTTGTTAAATCTCAGAGGGTTTACGAGCATAGTTTAAAGATTTGATTTCTTTGTTTTACATGTTTTATCGGTGTATACCTATTATCATCATGTAAAAAAGCATTATTTGTTATAGTTGTTTATTTCATTTTTTAATAAACAGTAATTTATAGATATCTCACGAATATATTTGATTTTTGTTTAGTTTCGCATAATGTATCATCATTTGCAGAAAAAAGAAATATATAGAAAAAAAATATTTGAAAAATGTAATCACTAATATCTTACTATTTCAGGTGAACATCTGCATTTCGAAATAAATGAGCTACAATCTTGGTCCTTTTTGAAAAAATATTATTAAAACATATTAATAAAGCAACACTTGATAATAGGTACGGGACTCATTAATGTATTATAATATACACTCATCATAGATACCTGGCTTAAATTGTGTACGATATATATTTACAATATTTAGAGCATAACAATCAAAACAAGATTTACACCAGAGTTAGGCTAACTTTTTGGTTTGATCCGCTCTTCAACATATTTGTATTAGATTTTGGATATTCCAATATATTTTGGCTTTGAGCATCAATGAAGAGACATGAGACATTATTTGTCGAAATGCGCAGCTGGTGCATCGAAATTGGTACCGTTATGTTATAACTTGAATTGAAAGAGTTGCAACCTGAGGTTCAGGAAAGTTTGATTATTAATCAACCGTTAACAAAAAAGCGATTTTTATCGTGTTGCTCATAAGTATTGTTTCCTTAAAATATTTGGATGTAATCAAACGATCGAGGGTAAAAGCGTAACAAGCAGGCTCCACCAACAATTATATCAGAAGTTATAGCATTACGACCAAAGCCATCTTATTTTTAAGTAGACCTTACGTTTTATTTATTTGAATCATTTTTGTGTCCGTTTGCTTCTCAGAAACCTATTTGTAAGAATTTTTGATGTTACCATGGTTACCGTTTATGTTATAACTTGAAGTGAAAGAGTGCAACCTGAGGTTTAGGAAAGTTTGATTATTAATCAACCGTTAACCAAAAACAGATTTTTACCGTGTTGCTCATATGTATCATTTTCCTTAAATTATTTGGATTTAATCAAACGATCGAGAGTAAAACAGTAACAAGCAGGCTCCAACAACAATTATATCAGAAGTAACAGCTGTACGATCAAAGCCATCTTTTTAGTAGCCCCTACGCTTTAATTATTTCAATCATTTGTTTGTTTCCGTTTGCTTTTCAGAAACCCATTTGTCAGAATTTTTAAGTTACCATTTTCATCTTTTCAGCTAAACACGGAGAAAATACATTAATTAAAAGGATTTCCAAAATTTTATAAAGATAATTTTAATAATATCCGTATTTCCATTCCAGTACAGAAGTAATGGCTACTTGACTGTCGGTAACCTTAGGGAATAGTAGTCCATTTGCTGAGATATTAACTCATAAGTTGTAATAACATATCAGTACCAAAAATTACTGCAACAGATGAGCTAGAATGCGACAAGAGTCAGCCAGTATTAAAACGTTTTAAATAATACAGTTTCGCTGAATTTATCTTGTGAAGAACGTTAAACACTACAGGACCAGAAAAGGTCTACCAGTTCTTCAACCTAGGTTTCATTCTAAAGATTTGTTTGTTTTGGACATAATTGTTTGGTTATGATTATTTTTTGACTATTTGGACTGTTGACGATTTCATTTTCCTTATTTCTTCAATTTACAACTGATAAAAACCATCTTGATATCTTCAAACATTGGGGTTTTTCCCCCAAAAAAATTGGTGAAATTAATCTATAATAACGAAGCAAACCAGTAAAAGTGTAGATTTCGTTTGCTTTTAACACTTTTCGAAATATCCAAAATAGGAAAGATTGAACAAATAAATTAAATGAATATATTAAACACGGATATGGGTAAGGATTATATGACTACACCGGCATAGTAACCAATCAGGGTCTGATTTGCAATCTAGGTTTATTGTATTACAATTATAGCGAAAGAGCTATGCTTTTCGATTGGATGATTATGAATCCGATATTCGATTTTTCACGCAATACATAACACGTATAACGAACAATATCCTATATATATATATATATACATATATATATATATATGCGAAAATGCATATATTGTTATAAAGCATCATTTAATTCATTTGAAAATATTATTTGTTCTCAAAACCTACTATCCAACATGATATTTTGTCTTGATCAATTGTTGCTTCTATTGGCTGATTTGCTAGTAATAGCTTCTGCTGAATGCAAATCCGGAATTTGGATTATGAATCCAGACAGGATGAACACTAGGCTCACAGGATACAAAATTCGTACATTTGATAACATTCCCCCGAGGATCTGTTTCGACAAATGTATCCGGAGACCAAGATGTCATTCTTACAACTATAACAGACATATATTACGTTGTGAACTGAACTACAAACCCAAAACTGAACACTTTCACAACGACATGGGATTTGTTTATGTTGATGTTGATCATTACAGATGGGTAAGTGTTATTTTTGTCCATCTTTAGTAAATTCAGTTACTTTTAAATGCTATCCTTGCAACAGCATAAGTCAACGTGAGAAAGAAAATATGCGAGAGCCTTTCTATGTTATGTGTAGCTATCAGTTATTGGAACATTTGAGGTTTTTTTTCTTATAAAAGCTAAGAATGTAAAATCGAATTTCAAAGTAAGTTCATTATATCATGTATATTGTATTTGAATTTTGTTCAAGTTTTTATAATACCCCTTCCTTCTAACTGTGTCATTTTATTGTTTAATTGTGGTAATTGAGTGATTTCTGGTAGACTTAAAGGTACCCTTAACACTAAATTCATTCAGGTGCTTATTTTCAAGTTTATTAAAGACAAAATATATCCATGATTTATTTTTATACACCATTGCATTTTATAAAAAAAAATTTAAATATCAATTTTTGGAGGGATTATGCAGAAACCACCATCATGTTACATAAATGGCTGATTTTGTAATATTAGTCGATAGACATATCTGGAACTATTTGAATGTTTAGTAGAAAATTACAATAAACATGAAATTTCATGTTTTGTGGTATAGCTGTAAGTAAATTGACAGGTGAAATCAATTTTGACAATGTTCAACTTATAATATTTATAAATATTCAAGCAAACACTTTCGGAAACAAATTTAGATTAAACATAATTAACTTATAATACATTTGCTGCCATAATGATTACATATTTTGCTTACAAAGCTTTAAATCATAAAATTATAAAGTTTAGCAAATGAAAATTTGCATAATATTCATAATATTTTTAAAGCATTGGAAAAGTACACCTGATATCTTTGATTAGTTTTTACACTTTAAGTAAATCTAGTTTTATCTATACTGGTTAATCATCTATACTGGTTAATACACCTCTTTCGTTTGTTATTAAAAATATAACCATAAATTATATGCTTTTGAGCACAACAATTTTTTTTATAATATCTTTATTGGCATATTACCATGATTAGTTTGTGACAAAAAATAATAATAAAAACAAACATAATATAGCAAGGAAATAATAATTCTATAAGAAATGAACACATGAAATAAAATTATAAGACTTCTGCTCTCACTTTTAATGATTGTTATATAAAGAAGCCAATATTTTTAATATGTATTATGTGCCATTGTTGATATGGAATTCATTTTGTTAACTTTTTGTCGATGTCGTGAAACTCATATATAAAGATGTTTGCTACTCTTGTTTATGATTTTTTTGTCAGCTATTCGGAATCCTATAGTTTTATCCATGTAGCGCCAATAACAATTTTGCCCGCTAACCCCCTACTTTACTTTTCATTTAGTTGAAAAATCCATTTTTGAAAACTTATAACATCCTTGTTATTTTTTCATAGATTTTGAAAGAAAAAATGAGCCATTGTTAAATGTATGAAAAATCTCGAGAGAATCGTTTTCCGCCAAATATTCAATTGATTATATCTCAAAAAACAAGAACAAGGACTTTTCATTTTGCTTTTTAAGTTCTGTTATTTTTATACTATCAATTTAAAACAGTCTTTTAAAAAGCTTGTTATTTTTAAACAGAGAAGCTAACACCCTTAAAGGAAATATTAAGTGCACCCATCTAACACACGGCTATATTATATATCATTCGAAAGCTTATTATCAAGACTTTGTGTTTTTCCCGGGCTGTTAAACATTCGTAAAGTACAATTTAAGTTAAATCAGGTCAAAGGTTAAAAATAACATTACAAAAGTTTGCTGGGATCAAAACAAAATGCCATTTTCTTGTTCTTGTATGATAAATTGTTTCGAAATATCATATGAATCTTAAAGAACAGAATACAATTATTCCAAATCAAACAAAAATTACGAGGTAAGTAGCGCAATATTAACAGAAAATTGCTACTAAAAAATAATCTAAAAGCAGATTTTCTTGGGGATATTTATATAGCCTAAAACATAATTTTAAAATGCAATTAATGTATATTGTTCTGGAAACAACCTTCTATTGATCATTTTGCTTTTCTATGTTGATATAGCACATCGAATTATTGTCAATAGCAGGACGACAATAATGTTTCATTATTAAAGAAAGGGTATTTAAGGTTTTTAAAGAAATATAAGAAATGAATACAGCAAAAGATATGTTTTTCGAAGTCGAACTTGTTTATCATTTTGAAATAACATTTCTCATAAATTGGTGGCTAAAAAAATCAGTTACTCGCATTTGGAAGCACTAAGTTGTCTTTCGGTTGATATTTACGGAATAGAAATAATGCTCCTGGATTTTTGTTTAAATAAAGTGTTAGACATGTGAAATGTGGTAAGAAGATTAATTTCGTAAAATATTCGAATGAAAAAGATCAATTTTCGAATGAATACTGTTTTTACCATAAGCTTTTAAAACATAAATGCTGGTGATTGTATATGCAAGGAAGTTATAAGAAGTTATTAGATTAGACATGTTAATGAAACGAAATTTATATATGAAAGATTGAATACTCTTCCAGGGCACTTCAGATCATTTACGGTTTTAGGTAGTGTTCGTTTTTACATTTCGGTGTAGTGTTTTGTGTACTTTTGTTTGTTTGTTTGACTTTTTTGTTTTAGTCCTGATATTATCTTAGATTCAAGGATTGAGATTGTTCCCTTGATCTCTCTTTCCTTTAAAGACATGCTAAAACACACCCGCGACATCGCGGGTCCGTGACTGAATGAAAGTAATTACGCCTTATTTTTAACCTGGATTTTAGTATTCGTCATGCTGATAATAAGGTGCACAGTTTTCTCTACTTTCAAAATCTTTCTGTTTGAACCCGTCGACCTGGAACTTGTTAACTATTGGTAATATTAATTATATGGAAAACAAAAGGGCTTGGAATGGTGTAATTTGTAATCAACACCATCACTGCATTGTCCTATATTAGTTATATATATAAAGTTGCATTCTTTGATTCGTCGTTTTTAAGTCAAACCGGCTAACAATTTGGAAAGTACCTACACCTTATTCTTAGTCTGGATTTTTAGTTTTTGTATTGTCATCTGATAAAGTCATGCTGATTATAAGGTGCACAGTTGTCTCTGCTTTCAAAATCTTTGCTTGAACCCGTCCTGGTTTTCTTACTACAACCAACACCTTTGTCCTATATTAGTTATATATAAAGTTGAATTCTTTGATTTGTCGTTTTTAAGTCAAGCCGGCTCACAATTTGGAAAGTACCTACACATTATTTTTAGCCTGAATTTTCAGTATTTGTTTTGTCATCTGATAAAGTCATGCTGATTATAAGGTGAACAGTTTTCTCTGCTTTCAAAATATTTGCCTGAACCCGTCCTGGTTTTCTTACTACAACCGGAAACTACATGTGACAATGATTGAATTTAATAGTGTCAATCTTTGTATAATGACGAAGTTCAGGTGTGATTATGACCCATGTATATAGAAAATCCCAAAGACACCGATTGTTGGTGCGCCTGACAGAGACGGAACGTACAGATTAGGTTACAGGTGACATTATATAAATAACACATAGCTGAGAGGGTGATAGAGCAGATTGTTACCCCGAGAAAACATTGTCAACTGAGGCGAAGCCAAGGTTGACAATGTCTTTTCGAGGGGTAACAATCTGCTCTATCACCCTCTCAGATATGTGTTATTTAATTTATTATACTAAATGTTCTGTTATTACTGTCGATTAAATTTCAAATTCAAAGTAATAAACTATGACGTCTTGTACATAACAACCATCCGTATTTAATAAAGCGCACACTTGAACAAGCGTCTCCGTGAAGGGTAATAGAGTATTTACCATAGAATAGAGTAAATTAACACCCTCGTATAAGCCAATCAAAATATTGCATTTTTACATGAAGTATAATAAATACTATTGGTATCGGTATCGGATTCGACCCGGTACTTGTTAATTATTGGTAACATTAGTTATGTGGGAAACAAAAGGGCCTGGAATGGTGTAATTTTTAATCAACACCATTGTCCTATATAAGTTATATATAAAGTTGAATTCTATGATTCGTTGTTTTACGTCATGTCGGCTAACTTATTTTAGTAATATAGATATTGCAGTATTGATTCTTTAATGAGATCTTAAGAACAAAGTATAGTTTGACAAGCATTATAATGTGAAAATAGCAATTTCGCTCATGTTTTGTATAAAGTTTTAGGGAATTCTTTTTAATTTGATTCATTTTGAAATTACAGATCAAGTAATAAGAAAAGTCCAAATAGTAAATCTTTTAGACTTGCAGTTACAAAAGATATAAAAATATGAAAGTTTACCACCAAAAGCATGATGCCCTCGTGCATCATTTCCGTGTTGTTTTTTTTAAACATTTTTTTTAAAATTGTGTTTTTTCAACCTTACAATTCCGAATACACGTTATAATGTAACAAGTGTGTGCAAAAGAAAAAGCTGTGGCAGCATTTTGGGAAACTGTATGAGTTGTTATGATTGGCTATTTGATTAGCATTAAGCGTGCTTGTAGTAAGTTTATGATGTTAAAAAGACAGGCGAAGGATACCAAAGGGACAATCAATCTCGTAAGCCCTGGAATATCGTATCAACTGGGAGATATATACTCCGTATGCAGGCGCTGCTGGAATGTTGCTACATAGAAATGGAAAGTTCACAATTGGGAAGCCGAAATAATCTCTTTTGTCGTAAAGTTTTGTTTTCAACTGGCCCTTATTGTTAATTTCTAGATGTCAGTCAAGATTTGAGGCAGACTTAACTGTATCTGCTGTATCCTTTATGTCAAGTTCGATGGGATAGATGCGTTCAACATAGTCACACAATTTTAAATTATTTTGAATTAAAACCTGCTTTAACACTGAATAAAGAATTTTCATTGGTGTAAGGTGATCAACAGTTGAATCACAAACAAATATTTTGGTTTCACTTAGTTTTATAATTTTTACTGGTATTTCTGAAAAAGGTGCTGTCTTTTAAAAACACGTTTTAAACACAAGTGCGCCTGGTAAGTGACTGTTAAT